CTTTGTCAATTGTGTGAATATTTATGAGAAAGTTTTCATATTCTTGTTTAAGGCAAACCCCTACTCATCATCACATTATACATAAAGTTTGGCATTTTAATGTAAGTGTTCTAGCAAGAAGTATTTAGATTATTTTATACACATCCAGAGTGGTGGAATATAAATTTTAGCAAGAGAAAAGTGGAGTTCTTTKCTAGAATGATAAAAAAGAAATGCTGATAGTGGGAGAACAATGTTGCACGACATACAAGAAGAGAGAATTTTCACGTGTAAGATAATTGAAGCAAAAATGAATTTTCGAATGAAGGAGACAAAAGGATGAAGAAGACAAGTTGAAGCCTAAGAAATTCTGTCAGATGTTAATTTATACTTAGAGATGAATAGCAGGAGCAGRCTCCTGAAAATCTTTTAGGTCGGGAGGAGTACGAATCCAAGGGAAACCTGTATTGTTTGTGGTATCTTACAATAAGGTAATTTAGAATATATGGTATGGCATATAATTTTGTTTGTAGTTAGATACTATCAGAACATAGAGAACATTTCTTTTCTGGAGCTTAATTTTCAACACTTTACAGAATTTYTTTGATGGAAATTGAATTATTTAATCCTGAAATAGATGCTCTCCTCAAAATTTTCTATTCTAAGCATTTTAAATAAATAATATTGTTCTTTCCCCATTTTGTCTTAGTTAAAAATATATGTAATGTTTTCAATTAAATAAAAGAAGTATATTGCATTTATACTGTCTTTGTACTACGCAGATGAAAATTTTTGAGAGCTCTCAGTCAGRTAGATAGGTTCAAATGGCCAAGCTTTTGGTCGTCCAGGAGCATGCTCTGTCCAAACCACCTTAACGGGTTGGAAACTAGTATCTGTTAAATTCAGTGGAAATTACACACCTAAATCTGTAAGGAAGTACTGGTGGGTAGTTRTCTACCTCTCAATGTAGCAAGGAAAAAACTCACAGCCCTGTGACAATATATTTCTGTTTCTTTTTTTCTAAACCTTTAGTTAATTGCAGGGGTGTTTAATCTTTGTTGTATATGCTTTGGTRTGATGTGTTTATTGATATATGCTTATGATTTTTTATATGCTTTTGAGCAGATCGATGGGTAATATGATTATTCTCTTGAAATTTTCTTTTTTCTAATAATCCAGGCATGGCAAAAGCTAAAAAAACACTTCTAATACTCTACCTGTAGTGGACRTACTCCATTTTAGTCAGTTTTCTTAAGACCAAGGGGGACAAAGGGAGCTTTAATGCTAAATGAAGGAATGAAATGGGAAGGTGCAAGAATTTTTTGGGAGGTAGAAAAGGATGTAATTTTTAACAGCCTGAAATGCAACAAGGTGAATTGGACATTTATAAGTGTTGTTACAGTGGACTATACTATTCTGGACTTGTCAGACTAAAGGTCTGGAAGTCGTGGGKATACAGTTCATCCTAGCTTGAATATTGAAATCCTGTTAAATTAGAAGAGAATAAATGGAATTGGGATAGTGGTGTGCATCTGCTATATATTTTATGTGTTAATAGTTTAACYTGTGCAAGCAGGTATTTTAGGAGAAAACAGTATTTCTTACTTTGCTGTACATTGTGTCACACATGAATATTCAGTATAGCACTTAGTTTGCTAAAAATGGGTATGCACTTTCCATGAGCACCTTCAGAGCGTTCATGAAATAAATTATGTAAAATTTTAACATCCCATTTTATATTAATTTTTATGGTAACATTAAATTAATTTAAGACTATAATTGATAGTAACAGTTTGGTCTAATGTAATCCTTAAACCTGGTATATAAAGAAAAACATAGCTGATTACTTTTAGTTTAATGATGGTTGTTGCTTTGTTATAGTGAGACTAACTCTAAATTGTTGGGGCTTTTTCTTTGGCATAGTTATTGGGTGCTTTGCATATAATTAAAAGTGGTAATTCTGACTGTATTCRTAGCCCCTTTATATTCCATTTAAATGTTGGAATATTTAGGAATAGAGATTTTCATCATCTGATCCTGTGTCCTATAAAATCATTCCACCATTATGCCAAAAGTATGTTTTAGCTGTCTGAAGTAGACTTCAGACCGCAACCCACTCTCTCTGGTGTTATGAAGTATTCAGCTGTATGTTTTTAAGTTTAGTTGACATTCATCCTAGACAGAAGCAAAATATAGTTACAAATGTTAACATCAGAGAGTAAAATTTMATACAAAAAAAGGAGAATTTATGACAAGATTCTGCCCTTAAAAGTTATTCCCAACAGCCATCTCAAGGAATCTGACTTGTGCTCACATGCTAAATGACAAAACTGTAAACCCTTTGACCTGTAAAGTAGTATTTGAAATCTTTCTATAAAGAAAGGTTTTCTTTATAGAATCTAGGTCTGGACTGTAAGGAATGTGTATAGAYTAAGACACCAGCACTGAAGTTGATGGAATTTTATGATTCACAAAAGCTATATGGTTATGTGGAGCACAGTGTGAAATTGTCATCAACAGGGATAACGAACAATAGCTACGTAAGGGTGAGGCAGATGGAATTGCTTTCCACTTACCTAAACTGTAATGTTAAAGAAAACATCAGTTATTTTAAGATCAGGAATAGGCCATCTGCCCAAATAGCCTGTCCTTTCAGCTTTAACTAACTACCATATTATTATATTCATCTGAATGTTGTTACATTTTTTCTGCTTGGTTTCTGTGAGAGATGCTTCATCTCATTACCTGGTCATCTTTACAACTAGGTTTCTCTCTAAAAATGCCRGGTCTTTCTTTAATATTTGTGTTACTCTATTCAAATATTTTGCCTCCAAATATTACATTTCATTTATATATTTTTTATTAAGTCAGACAACATCTGTCTTACTGGCAGTGTTGGAAATGATGTGACAGTCTGGCAACAATGGTAGCAGGAAATATGCAAAGAACCCACAGGGAGGATGGAAGGGAACAGAGCATTTGCATCAAGGCAAAGAAAAGAGCTTTGGGAAAAAAGGGTCTAAAAATAATTGAATCTGAGAGATAGAAAGATAAGCAATTGAGAGAGATTTGTAAAAAAAGCATTTTTTTAGCTGACAGAGGAATTTAATTTGTAGTTTTCAGCTTTGTCTGAAGGAAGGAAGGAAGGAATGACTTAATAAAAGATTCAGTTGCTTTGAAGGTACTTCAATATAGCTGCAGCTTTATTTCTCTCGAAGAATATTGTAGTTGAGTAGGTAGATGTACAATACATTTATTTAAAGTTTTTCTTGAATGTTCAAAAGAACAAGTCTTTWAAATAGGATATCCAATTGGCTTAACCTTCTATCTCTTTTTGATCACCCCAGCTTTAGAAGTGAAATGCTATTGAATGTAACCAGAAAAATAACATAACCACAGTCAGTCCTTAGKGTCMATTTTCATTATTCATTGCTAGTTTYACTGTATGCTTATGCTATTTACAAAGGATGCATTTTGTCTCAGAATACTGAGGTGCAGCTAATCATGCACAGAATGTAGTCTGATACTTTATTTTCACACCGCCCTATAATGGAAGCATTGAAGAGGACTTAACTCATTTAGAATTTTTATTGAAAATGAAATGAATAGCTCAAATCTCAGTTGCAAACCACACTTTTCACTAGACAGGTTATGAYTGTGTATTTTAACATTCCAATCATTCAAATCTTGCCAAGTTTCAATAATAAATGGAATTTGTCATATAAATGAGTAATTGCAATTGTCTTGTTTAATATTTAACTTCTATAGTTGTCCTATGCAGAAATGAAGTTTGGTGGTTTTTTTTTTTTTTAATTTTCACAAACTTTTTCATCTAGCTTATTTTTTGTTCACTGTCTTGATTACATGTTTACTGAATGTTTAGATTATCTTTCTCTTCTTTTGATAATTCTTGTCTTTTTATGTTGTAGTTTAGCATTTTCCCTGAGTATCTATGTAGTCTTTTCCTGAGAAAATTCTTTCCAGTTATTTCCAATGGTATTAAATAAAAAGCTATTCAGATTACATATTTAGTTCATCAATGAACTGACCTACTAGGTTTGGAAGGTCAACCTGTATTCCAGAAAGATGTGGTTGTTTTTTTTTTTTTCCTACCTAGCAGTTTATTCCAGCACCTTTCTACTGCTGCTCATGAAAGCCAAAGAGGCTCTAAAATGATCACAGGTGTCTTTTGTTTCCCCGATGATCTGATTCAAGATGTCTTTCTCTAAGCTATCTTGTGATCCAGTATTATGATCTTCAGCAGGCAATTTATTGACTCTAGATGTATTTCTAGTCATCATGTTTATAATCTCTACAAAAGCTGCAYGTAATTGTTAATATTTTTTCAAGCATTTTTTCTAATCTTTAGCATGAGGTGAATTTTCARTCTCATTTTGGCTCTTCTGGGTTGTGTTCAATGGCTATCTCCTCTCTTCCATTTAGCTAAATCCTTCAAAATGTCATCTGAAGTTTTAATATTGAACTTTTCATACTGTACACTTCTATGTAAAATTTCTTGTCAATGCTATGTAKCCACTCCATTCAGTCCAATAATAAGAATTATTTTCTTCCTTATATTTGACAGAATGGTACTTTTCAATTTTTTTTCTCATGGCTCTTCTAGGATTGTCTAGTAGGTTAACTTATTTTCTATACTATATAGCAACCCTTTTCAGAAATGTCTCTTCTGGCTTCAGATARAAAAGAATATCTTATAAGATTATTGTTGATCATTGTATCTTTTCTATTACTAGCCACCACAAGATTGTGGGAAGAMTCTCAATTTCTATTTTAAGTTATCTTGAGGTCACTACTTCAGGCTACACAAGCAGAATAAGTTTTATTAGAAAATTTTGGAAATGGAAATTTCCTTTTAAGATATAAATCAATTTTTTTTTTCTAAATCTCTTATCTAAGTTTTATGGGTATTTTTGGAGTTGTGATTTCACAGCATTTTMGCTTAACTGAATAACTTCATATATAAGTTAGCACTTGACTGTGTTAGCTGATGAAATATTGGAATTTATTTTTTAAATGGCAGTAAATGCTTCATCAAGAAGTAAATTCCTAATCTTTTTATGAATAGAACACTATCTTTCAGTYTAGTAGCTGACAGAAAAAGTAACATAAATTGATCAAAAAGTTCATTCAGTATTGTATTTTGGGTATTTCCTAGCCAGGTATTTCAAATGTTTATGTTTGCTTTCTGTCTTTCATTAATGGTTCATTTCAGAATGAGGTTTGCTGTCAAATGCCAAGGAAAAGTTAATCTATTTCTGAACTACTCTTTTCTGGTTTGAATAACCAGTAAGTACTGCTTTTAATGCATTGTATCCCTGAGAGAAAACTATGAGATAAATAGAAACACAGCTSTGTAACAGAACTTTTCTGTTTCTGAGGAATTTAAATATCAATCCTTGTCAGTTCTTACCCCCATTAAAGAGAGTAAACATCCCAATTAATGAAATATATGAAAATTTTAGCCCTATGCCTTGTGTGGAAAAAAACCCAGCTGTTGTGTAAATGAAGAGATTTCGAAAAAGCATAATTTAGCATTACTAAGAAGTTATTTCTATGTTTTTTAAGAGATTGTACTTTGCTGAAAAAAATGCTGTTACATTTTTTTCTCATGCTTGTATAAAAATGCCACTTAAATATGCWTTAGGCTATTAAAGCTACAAGGTGGATTTATTACTTCTAAAGGACTTCAGGTTTATGCAGGATATCTGTAGAAGGAACAGTTGTCCATTTTTATACAGAGCTACACAAGAATTCCACTGCTCATCTGTAGYTTCTGTGGGGATTTTGACATGAAAAATGTCTTTGGTCATGGAAAATGGCTAATACCATGCAGATATTTCTGTGTAGTTGTTCAAGATGTTATGTTTATATGGATGGTAGTTCATAGTATTGCCATGGAAAACACTGCCACGTATTCTAGAAGAGACTACTTTTGYCTAGTAATAAAATGATGTAGTACAGATATAATGAAATAAAGATYTGCAGGCTCACATGTTGCTAAGGGAACAAAATTATTTCACACAAACACATAAGAGTGTCTATAATAAAAAGATCAAAGARCTATTCATTAACCCATATCTATGCTGAAATCTAATTTAAGTTGGTTTAAGTAGCCTCATCTCCAACATCCCTTTTGCCTTTAAAATGTTCTTAGAGTAAACAGAATTTGAGAAAAACTGACACTAAACCTATGTTTCTGTTGGAAATGCTATACAGCCGAAAATCAGCAGAAATATCCTTTGTATTCATATTAGCATTTCAATAGGAGAATATGTAAAGAGATATTTTATCAGACATTGGAATGAGTTTGTTTATTGTCAGACAAGAGCTCCCAGAGTGGTGGGTTGTTTTTATTGTTAGAAACAAACAAGACAAAAAGTATTTTGATTTTAATCAAAAATGTATTTTCTCATTAAAAAAAATTCACATACTCACTGTGTCTACTCTACAGAATTTGTCCATTTCATTACACCATATGTCAATCCTAGTATATCTGTTCACTGCAAAAACTCGTGGCTATTGTGTGTAATACAGCACAGGAGGAGGTATTGCTCAGTTCCACTACTTTTATATAATAATTTAAAAAAGAAATACAGAAAATGTTCTTGGCTACTTCCACTGTATTCCAGACTTTAACGTCCCATGAAAGTTCTAGAATATGAAGTTAATTTTATTTGGTTGGTAGAATACCCTTAGAAGCCAGTTAATTAAAATTCTTCTCTTATACTGAGTCATATATATTCCACTTGTTGGCAGCAGCAAAGTCCAGGCATCTAGTTCCTAAGAGGAATACGTTTTCTTGTTGCCTTTTTGTTCAGCACAAATGCAGTCATGTGCTTTTTATTTCCAAAATTGAGTGATATACTGACATATTTATGACATATTTGTTGGTACACCTATTACAGTTGCTTTTACTTCCATTGCTGTGCTTTTTTCTTTGCCCATGTCCCAAAGAGTGATAAGAGGAGGATAAAGCTCATTGAGTGAAAAGGATTGTTTCTTCAGGTAATTCCTTAGATAGCTGTGTCCAATGCCATAGTTCATATCTTGAGAGATGCAGCTGTAGAGATACATCACAGAGATGATTCCCAAAAGAGCACCAAGGCAGACAAGRAATCCCATTATGTTGTTCTTTTCATAGCTTTTCATTTCCAAGTCCAGTCCTTTTGTGGTTACATTGATGCATTGTTTCCTATTCTGCGAATAGATAGTGGGAATATCTATACAAATTTTGTATTCAGTTGATGGATTTAGATGTGTGAGATTATATACCTTTATATCAGATGGTATTCGAGCACTCTGTGCAGCCCGGGAGTCTTCGGCTTTCAGAAAGGCTGTCCATCTAACGCTGGACTTCAGAATTTTAGAACTTGCTTTCCATGAAAGCAAAACAGAATTAGATTTTATGTCTTTTATTTTGATATTTAAAGAGCCATTGTTTTCCTGAGGGAAAGAACCATCCACTTTAATCATGACTGACTTTAGGTCTGCCCCAACTAAATTTGTTGCTATACATGTGTATAAGCCACTTTCTCTTTGTGTCACATCACTTATATCTAATGTTCCTTCAGAATGAATGTAGTATTTATCAGAGATAGTATTAGGCAAAAGTTTGTGTCCTGATGGTGTTATCCAGTAGATTTCAGGTTCTGGTTCTGCTGTTGCTCTGCAGTGTAAGGAAATATGGCTGCCAGCTTTTAAATCCAGTGTAGATGGAAAACTTTCAGGAGCTATCAGGGGGAGACAGATTTCCATCATTTCCCGGAAATGTATCTGTCTCACATTCTGACCTTGGAATTCAGGAGGGTCTACACAGAACAGGGACTCCGGCTCCATGAAACGAATGTTTGTTTTGTTCATGTTAATCCAGCGGATGACGCAGTCACACCGAATGGGGTTGCTGTGGATGCTGACTTCCTTGAGGTTGGGCAGGGACTCCACTGTGCTGCGGTACAGGGCGCTCAGCGCGTTGCTGTTGAGCATGAGCGATTCCAGCTTGGGAAGTCTGTAGAATGCATTGGGGTGAATGTATGATAATCTGGGGTTATTGGTCGCTTCTATTTTTCTTAAATCTGGCAAATTATCAACAGCAAGGCTATCTATGGAAATCAGTTCAGGCATGTTATTGATTCCTAACTCTTTTAGGTGCAGCATATTGCTAAAATCTCCTTGTCGTATTCTGTTAATGGGATTCTTGTTTAGATCCAGAAATTTAAGGTTTGTAGCCTTTCGAAGGGCAATGTGGGGCACTCTGACAAATCTGTTGTCATAAAAGGAAATGCTTTCTAARTTGTCAAGGCCGGCCAAAGCATTATCTGGTATTTCAGTGAGATTTATACCTGCTAAAACTAGGCTGCGCAGATTGCTAAGAGGCTTGAAGTTCATGTCTTCAATTCTGATTATTGGGTTTTCTCCAATCATGAGAATTTCAAGATTAGGAGTGGCTTCAAACCACTTTCTGTTGATCACTTGCAGGCCATTTGAATTGAGATGAAGTCTGAGAAGATTATTGAGGCCTATGAAAGCTCCCGGTGCAATCACAGAAAGCAGATTATGATTAATATAAAGCTCTTGTAAATTGTTGAGTCCAGAGAGACATTCTTCAGGGAGTTCAGTAAGTTTGTTTTCTTCAAGGTACACTGAAAGCAGCTGTGGTATCTTCCTAAGATTAATACTGGTCACTGAGGATAAATTGTTCTGAGATAAATCTAGGCCAGTTAAATTCACTGGGAAGTCTACTGAGTGTTCAATTTTTGCAATATTATTMGTTTGTAGAAGTAGAACTTGTGTGTCAGCAGGCAGTTTGGCTGGGAAATGAAAAAGGCCTAAATCATTGCAGTCCACCGTTGGAGCTTCCATGTAGACAGACCTGGGGGTGAACCAAGGTCTGATTTCGCATATACATGACTCTGGGCAGTCTGCTTTTTTTCCTACAGCTTGTAGCAGAGCAGTGGTAACTAGACCAAGTAGCAAATTAATTTTGAGCTGSAGGTCCTTCATCTTAGCTCCAATGATCAGGAAAGTAACAGACCCTTTTTTTATTCCACAATTTCGGTCTTGCAATTCAGTATGACCTGGTTAATTAATACAGCACAAACTCGCTTTTATCAAATGAYGATCGTGAAGGACTTCCTTCCTGAGGATACATGATAAATTTGTAACCAACTTGTCCAGTAGGAAGAAGCATTTTGTGGAAATGAAGGTCACTCTCTCCTTGATGACATAAAATTGATGAGCTTTCTGAAGATGAAGTATGTATAGATGGTCATAGGAGATTAAAYAATTCATTTATTTAGTAGTATTAACTTCAAATCCCATGATTGATTAGTGTTTGCAGGAATGACAGGATGACCTAAAATACAAGAAGAGGAAATAATTAGTATAAGAAACTATAAAGTTATAAATTAATTTAGCCATCTTTTGTTCTCTACTGTTAATTATTGCAAGTAAGAAAAGAAAATGACTGTGGTGTCTGGAGTATTATAGTGGTATCCAGATAGCATAAATTAAGTTAATATAGTAATATGTCTTTAGACTTTTAGCTTGTCATACATYCAGTGGAGCATTGTTCTACAGAAAGATGAAGATCCACAGAGTATAAAGCAAAATATATCATCTACATATTTTATCCTCCTTTAAAATATTTTCTTTTTTCTTTCAGTTATCAGCAGAAGCAGACTAGGTTCTGTTGGCTTTGAAAATGTAAACACTGAGCAAAATCCTACAGAGCATGAATATTTAACTTTTGTACATGAAATTTATAACTATAAAAATGTAATTTATGTATAATGAAAGGGAAATGAAATGGTTGCGTTAATACACATTCCTAATGACATTCTTAGGCAAGCCTGTGAGATATTTATACAGAAATATACAAAAATTGATAATCCAAAGGTTTTATAATTGTTAATTCTTTTTGTAGCTGCTGTTTAGAAAGAAARTATTTTTTTCTTTTCTTTAAAGTGTTAATTAGAAAGAAATGGGTACCTTATAATAAATAGCTTGTCATCTTGGCAAATTCAGGCTAATCACTGGCTTTCTTATTCTGGCTTCAATAACCTCAATTGCAAGGAGTAATAACAGAAAAGTGTCTTCTGAGTGATAAAGAAAAAAAGGAAAAAAAAAATTACACTAGCAATTGCTTCTTTGCTCTAGTTCTGCAAGAATCTGAAGTTTGCAGACTGCTGTCAGGTCCCAAATTATAGTAAAAACTGAAACCTTAGCATCTTGTGGCAWCAAATGTATGCTTCCCAGATTTTTGGTAGGTGCTTTTCTTTTTGTGGAGTAAAATAAATCCAACTTTAAGTGTACATTTTGTTCCAGGGCATGTAATACAACAGCTTCTCTGTTTTCTTATGTAAAATAGTACCCMTTAACTGCTTAATTTACTTCAGAATATAGACTTTACACAAAACTCTCAAGACTTTGTTTCCAAAGACTGTTGTGCAACACATATTTATGCCCTTTCTCCCCTTGCCTTTAGTGTTAAAATTCACAGTGACATTGTTTAGAAACCATAAGATCAATGCKTAATTGACACTGATAAATAACTTTTAGAGGGTTTCTGGTATAGATAGACAGAATTGCTAAAGTCAAATGTCAAGCATTTGGATTTTAGGTGTCATTTTCAGACCCAGGGGGCTTGGTCATATTGACCACCTATGCATTCCGTAACTGTTCAGAGGAAAGGTGTTGGATTATGTAAAGCAATATGAGCATTGTGCCAATTTGAAGTACATTTGGCAAGTCTTTGAGGCTGTTCTTTGTGTTATGTACATTTAAGGACATTGAATATTTTATTTTAACACGTAAGTTTATTAATAGAGTGAACAGACAATGTGTGAGATAAACACACAGAAAACATTCTGCTGTTTTGAGGATCAATAGTAAGTTTTTATGCACATGGCCCAGTTTATACTGAAGTGCTAAGACACACTGACTGAAACAGTGAAAATGTAATCTACTCCTTTGTTCTGGGAAATGAGATGAACTTGAGCCTGGCAGAAAAATAAAGGTTTGTGTTGAACAGTTAATGCCTGCAACTTGCTCTTAATTTTGCCACCAGGAGGCAAGATGATACCCCTCTGTGGAGTACTGTCACATTTACTAAAGATCTCAGTAGAAATCATTCTATGCCAAATGCACAGATGTAATTTTCCATATAGGGAGAAAAGAGGATGGCCATGTGGGGTAGAATTTTTTGTCTTGTTCTTGATGCACGTTCTTGAAGCACATTTTGCACTGACCATTGTATTTTCAATTGGATTGTATATTAAAAATGTATTTGTAAGCAAGACAAATACAAAATTTATGCTTCAAATAATTTAAATATTGCTGAAAATGTAACCTGAATTGTAAATTATGGGGATTCAACAGTCTGCTGCTGGAGGTATCTTATCTCAGCTTTTGATCCCACTATGATGCTCAGGGACTCCTGCTCAGTAGAGGTATTTGTGAAAGTGTTCTGGGAAAGCATAATAATATTGATCTGGTCTTCTGTTCTTCCCTGGAAATTTGCTATTGGCCACTGTGAAACATAAAATGTGGACCAAAATGGACTTTTCATGAATGTCTCAGGCACCTGAGAAGCTGTACCATTTTAAGTACATAAACTATATTTTTGATTACTTTTGAGCCAGCATATTCCTGGATTTGAGTTTGTATTCCTGACTTTATATATCAGGTTCCATGGGATTCTCAAACCAAAAGTAAGGGCACCTTACTTTTTAATAGTGGATTTTTTTAAGTCATATATATTAGATAGGCTTTCTGCAAGAGACAGAAAAAAAAAAAAAAAAGAAAAAAAAGAAGCTGAGGTCCAGGTTGAAATTCTGCTTTGTTATGATTTAATCCAATGTCCTTTCTCTTTCTGGTGAATGCTTTAGCTAATAAGTCACCAGCTCAAGCTCATATGGTGTTCCAGCATAAATCTTTCTTATTTCTTTGGTTAAAGTGCTTCTGTCTTGTGTAAAATATTCACAGGTTGAGTGGCTTAAATAACAGATTGTAGAATAATTTTGACACTTCCAGCCTGCAGCCATCGTTCCAAAATGCACAGTTTCAATTCAGAAAGWTTTCTTGTTTAAATAGTGGCCTATSTATGTATTGTTTTGTATRAAAATTATTTTGTTTTAACTGTCATTCAGGGTGTGGAATAAAAGAATGTTTCTGGAGTAGAATGAACAYCCATGGTAGTTTATGAGATCATGCAATCATAGAATAGAACATGTTAAGTTGGAAGGGACCCGTAAGGATCAYCTGCTTCTGGCAGAACAACCTAAAACTAAATCATGTACCTGTRGTACCCTTCATATGACAGAGTACATTAAAAAATGAGTAATGAAATCAACAGCAAAAATTGTATATWATGCTTTGAGTGGCATTTTTTTTCTTTTGTTTATAATAGTATTAGAGTGTGATTCCAATATGCAATCTTGGCTWAGAATATAAGAAAGCATGGATTGCTGATGTAAGTTTTCCAGTCCCACTTGAAGCGATCAAAGCCCAGAAGCAAGTTAAGCAGTGTAACTGGTTGCATTGATTATGTGAGTCTGTCTCTGTGCATGTAACTAATTTCTAACCTTGAGATGTCTTCAAATCATTCTGAAGTGAAAAGCGAGCTGTCATTCACTGTAACAAAATAAACCTCAYGTCATTGCACTCAGCAGCAAAACTGTATTCAAAGTTCAGTTTCCTTGAAGAATGTGGTATCACAGAGRTAAGTGTATTGGAAAATAAGCATTTAACTTGTGTTACTTTCAGCTTTTGGAATGCATTTATTCCTTTCCTTCATTAATGTTCTAGTAACAGTAAATAGGTACTGATAATACTGAATTAAAATTGAATGTAACTGCTCCTATTACTTTTATTACAGAGCTTTTATTAATGTGTTCCAGTGCTTTAAAGCTGAGTTTTATGTGAAAGTTTTGTATTTTGAATGTCCAGTTTTAAAGGTACTAGTAAGAGGGACAGAAGAGAACCTGAAAGTTATTTRTTCTATTTCTTTGAGTGGTATTTAAAGCAACTGAGATTTACATACATAAAGGATTCTGTGCAAAGAAAGTGCACAGAATCTTCTCTTTTAAAAGAGAAGTCCTTTCAATTAATGCAAATATGTTAGCATTAACTCTTTGTTAGTGTATTTTGGTGACCTCTCAAGAYTGTTGATGTGATGCAAGTGATTCTTGGAACTTATACCTGTGATTGCTCACAGTAGAGAAGATTGTAGAGGTAAGGCTCCACAGCAGATGATCACCAGTAAGCTGAGGTATGGGATAGATGTTTTCACACAAGCAGCAGAAAGAACTCTGCAATATAGTTTTGCAGTCTTTGATGTAATYCTTTACCCAGCTGCATTTATAAATCTTTGTGTGCAATCTGATTGTACTTGTATATCTCCTCATCCAGATGAAGGAGTGTGGTTTGCTTCCTAATGTCTGAAAATAAAAAGGCTGAGTAGAGTCTATATCTAATTAATTACTATTCTTTCAGAATTTTTGTTATTGTTTTCATGTACTAGTACTTCTCTATTAAAACTGTTCAAATTTTTGTGAACAGATTTTTTAATTTTCTTCTGGAGGTCTATCCCYGTTGCCATGCAGACTTGGTGTCTTACTAAACATGGTATGTCTCTTGCTTTTAAGGTATTATCTCTTGCTTTTGGAAAAATGCACCCTGATGTGTATGACTTTTTGCAGCCTAGTTATTTCTGGTGCAAAAAGTGATTGGTATGTCTTAATTAGGTTTCTTTCGTTTACTGCTATTGACAGCTGGAGACTTGGTTTACAATAGGGTGTCACCATTATTTGAGCTGGAAAAGACATTCAGTGAATGAATAAACTGAGCAACGTTTCTCATCACTGGAGCAACAAACAGCTAAGAACCAAGTCAGAGTGGGCAGAAAGGAAAAGAAACACGTCAGATTTTGGCAATCGTTCTTTTCCACTTCAGCAGTTAGAGAGACAGTGATAAAAACTAAAAATGCAGCAGCTACAGTGCAATGTGCCCTGCTGGCAATAAGGCAAACAGTGCACTTCACAAGGACCAATTTAGAGGTGGCAAGCATTTTGAAAACACAGCTGTTCATACAAAGCTACCTTTCAAACACATCAACTGAAAGAGCACTTCTCAATTCTTGTCATTAWAACCACTTTGAGCAGTTCTGTGGACAGAAATCTGGAAATGTCACTAACCAAAAATTGGGCATGAGACATTTCATAACTTACTTCATTTTAGTTACAGCACTTAGAATGTTTTGGGTTTTCTAAGTGTTGGATATGGAAATACATAGACTGAAGTTTGAACATTTAATATCTTTCTGATAATTTTATAAGGCATTTTTTCCTTGTTTGCTCCATGGTCAAAACAAAAAAAAAAAGATAGCTTCCTTGGGGAATTTTTTATTACAGCACAATTAATAAAAATKAATACATCTTATGTATTTTATATATTTCATTAAAGGACAAAAGGATAATATAGATATAATAGATTTTCATAACAGAATTGGTCTTGAAATAATATTTATAGAAGTAAGCTCTGCTAGCTGGCCTATTAGGGTTGCTGAAAATTATATAGGCACTGTAAAAAATAGAAAGCATTTCTGCTAGCATGCAATCTTGCTTTCATTCCACTCTCTGGAGCAAAGCATTTAATTCTGTTTTTCTTTACAAGTAGAAATTAACAGTTCACTGTAATATGCTCTTAATGTTTTATGTTCCTACATATAGCCAAGATATAGCTTCACATTGAAAGACAAATGAGGATTCWCTAGAAATGATGTGTTTCTGAGGTGTTCAACTTGGGCAGCTCATGGTGTCAAATGTCTTRGGTTGAAAATCTCAAAACTGACTACCTGAAATATCTGGACATTTGTGAAAAATTAGGCTAGGGGTCTCTATTGCGACCTTGACTAATTTTGGAATCCACTTTACACTTTTTCTAATGATCGCTTTTTAGAACTTTAGGCTTGCCCTGAATAGCATTACATGCAAGATGTAAAATAAATAGCAAAGCTGGTATTCAACCCTAGAAGCAATTGGAACTATCTGAGTAACTATTTCAGCATGTGTGTTTGTATTTATTTTGTGAACTTGTT